ATACCTGTATACACACAAGGGCTTATTACTGTCACTTTGTCTTGTCTCCACACTTTCTTGCCTTGAAGGTCTTGGAATATACTTTCATTTGTTTTAACAACCAATATTGATTACCTAAAGTGTATCAAGTACATGCTAGGAGTTAGGAAAGGAGACACAAAGACAAAAACCACAGCTCCTATCTTCAGCCTGGTGATAAAGACAGACTGTTAACCATAAGTCAAGTCCAACTAGGATGAGTACTGCAAACAAGTTAAACAATAAGCTATATAATCAAGAGGAAATGAAAGATTAATTAGAAAATAGACACAGAGAAGTCAAAGAAGGCAGCCCAAAGGGGAAGTGATATTCACATGAGGCTTTCATTTATCCTGTGTATGTATAAAAATATTCCTTGGGGGCCTCCCTGGTGGCGTTCAGGGTTAAGTCTCAGCACTATGAAGCTATGGACAGCCACTGCAGAAGATACAGACTGCTACCATATTGTGTGGGGTCCTAGGACTGCATTGGTGATTTAGACTTGACTATAAGAGCAGTGAGACACATTGAAATGTTTTAAGCATGGAGGGGGGGCATGATGAGACATGAATTTTTAAAGAGTAACTAACATAGAGAATGTATGGGTAGAGGCAAGAGCAGACCTAGGGAGGCCAGACTAGAGGATACAGTGGGAGGTTGGGCCAGAGAAGTGGATAATTTGGACCCTGACAGTGGCTGGGGAAACAGAAAAGAAATTGATAGATCTGAGAAATATTTAGGAAGTTGAATTAGTAGGATTTTGGACTTGAATGGCTATGTTGGAATGGGGAAAGAACTATTTACTGAGCTAGGGACCATTCTTGAAGATCAAGCTTGAAATGTAAACAAATAGAATGTTCGGTCCATGGGAGCCATCCGAGTGACCATATCTATTAGAGAACTGGATGTATATCAATAGATTTGGAGCTCAGAGAGGTCTGGACAGGAAATTTAGGAATCACTTAGATAATAACTGATACAATCAGCTGAAGTGGTCACTAGAGGGTGACCTTGGGAAAAAAAGGCATGTTAAGGTCAAACCTTCATGAACTCCAACATTTACTGTTGGGGTTGAATGAGATTTACTGGTTAAGGAAACTGAAATTGAGCAACCAGAATTCCTAGGAATTGTGGGAGGAAAACCAGACAGGTGCAGAGTCACAGAAATCACAGGCAATACGTTAAATAAAGGGGAGAGGGAGATTATATCAAATGCTCCTATTGAGAGAGGCCCACTAGGATGGGACCATGAAATTTGCCAATATTATTGGTAAGAGAAATCTATTGAGCAGTAGGAAGCGAGGCCACATAAGGTCTAGAGTTGTGGAATGAGGGGCCTCCCTGGTGGTGCAAGGGGTTAAGACACAACACTATGAAGCTATCTGCAGCCACTGCAGCCCAAGTTCAACCCCTGGCCAAGCAGGCGACCCACATGGCGAAGCAGACCTCTCCTGACTCTCCCACTGCTCCCCTCAGCAGTGTATTTCAGTTAATCTGCCTGTTCTGTTCCCCACTCTGTCTCTGGTAAATCCTCTCACCCCCCCCCCACCTCTGGCCTGTATCCCAGTTCTTGTATGTATAAATAAATAAATCTTTTTTTTTTATTATTATTATTTTTTTTAAGATTTATTTATTTATTTATACAAGCACTGGGTACAGTCAGAAGCGCGGGAGGGTGAGAGAATTCACCAGAGCCAGAGTGGGGAGCAGAGCAGGCAGAAGGACCTAAGTACACTGCTGAGGGGAGCAGCGGGCGGCAGGAGAGGTCTGCGCGCCATGTGGGACCCTCCTCCGGTGGCCGGGGAGCAGCCGGGGATTGAACCGGCGCTGCAGAGGCTGCGGGCAGCTTCGCAACCCAGCGCTCAACCGCTGCACCACCGAGGAGGCCCAATAAATAAATCTTTTTGAAAAAAAAAAAAAAAGAGTTCTGGAATGAATAAAAGGTGAAGCTGTGTAGACACGGACAAAGTTAGGAGGACATTTTAGGCAGAGGAACAGCACAAACATAGGCATGAAGTCTTGAAGATCTATGTTGTGTTTGAAGGGACCTAAGCAAATCAGAGTGGCTGGAGACGTGAGTGCGGAAAAGGGTGAGGGTAGGAGGAGTGGCTGGAGAGGATGCTGGAGGTAGACAGATGTGATCAACCCTGACTGTAAATGACAAAAGGCAGGAAGATGACTACTTCTTGAATAGTTTATATGCACTAGGAGTCTTTACATACATTATCTCACTTAATCCTCATGAAAACCCTATAAGGTAATCATTCTTATCCTCACTTTGCTGTTCAGAGGCATTAAATAACTTACTCAGGGTCACACATCTCCCCGAATATAGGAGTGTCTGGGCAAGTGCCCTGAGGGGGTGACAGTGGGAGAGGGAGAACAGGGCCCAGATCCCTTTCATCCTGCAAGGTAGTGTTCCTGGGTTGGCCAAAGCAAAGGAAAGGTAGTCCAAAAACCAAAGCCAAGTGCAACAAGAAGATAGTTAAAAGCCAAATGGTCCATCCAGAAGTCAGGCTGCAGAGCCAAGAGAGATTGTTCATAAAGCCAAAACCCCACACACTGGTCCGAAAGCCAAGATAATCACAAGCAATAGAGCGTGATAAAAGAGAGGGCTGAGAAGGCCAGTAAACTTCAGGAGTAGAAAAGCCATCAGCTTCCAGCAGAGCTGGCATTCAGATCCTGGAGATCTGAAGATGGGGAAGAGATGAGGAAGGTTTTGGTAAAATCGAAGAACTAATTGATTTAGACCCTCCAGAGACTAACATGACTGTGAAATGTCTTTTTTTTTTTTTAAGATTTATTTATATAAGAACTGGGGTACAGGCCAGAGGCGCAGGAGGGTAAAAGGATTCACCAGAGACAGAGCGGGGAGCAGAACAGGCAGATGACCGAAAACATTGTTGAGAGGAGCAGCAGGTGAGACAGGAGAGGTCTTCCACGCCATGTGGGTATCTCTCTGGCCAGCCGGGAATCAAACCGGCGCTGCAGAGCCTGCAGACAGCTTCACAGCACTGTGTTCAACCCACTGCATCACTGGGGAGGCCCTGTAAAATGTCTTTTGGTGCCTCTGAGAAGAGTGGTCTCTGACTTTCAGATAGTACCTCCTCCACCTGGATCTATGTGGAGAGTAAGCACAACTCAGGCCCCATCCTCTACAGATTCACCTCCCTTCTACAGAGTGAAAGATAGGTAGGAGAGTGGCTTAGTCCTTGGACTTGAGAAATTACACTTGATTTGTATTCTAGAGGGGAAATATGAAGACCTTGAAGAGACCAGAGAACACAGATCTGGCCTATCCAAGATATGTAAGGAAGGAGAGCTGTTGCTGGGCCTTTAAGGGCTTGCTTAAAGCCCTTCTCCTGGGCCTTCCTGGTGGCCCAAGGGATTAAGCACTACACTATGAAGAACCACACTATGAAGCAATCCACAGCCACTGCAGCACGAGTTCAATCCCCAGCCAGCCAGGGAGAAACCCACATGGCGAGGCAGACCTCTCCTGTTTTGCCCTCTGCTCCCTTAAGCAGTGTATTTCAGTCAATCTGCCTGTTCTGTTCCCCGCTCCGTCTCTGGTGAATCCTCTCACCCCCCCATCACTGGCCTGTACTCCAACTCTTGTATGCATAAATAAATAAATCTTTAAAAAATCAAATAAAAAAAATGCATCTTCTCCTGGTACAATACTCCATAATTCATTGTTTCACATTCATATTTACACAATGCCCTCACAACCACTCCATTAAATAAGTGTTACTTCTCTTCATGTTCCAATTTTTTGGAAGCGATGCACAAACTAAGGCAGGGGAGTGGTAAGTGAGCCCAAAGTCCACGGTCAGAGGAAGAGCAAAACTGCAACCTGAATCCGAGTTTTATTTGATGCAAATTCTACCTATTTCTAGTCTGGGCAAGAAAGTGGTCAGGGGAGGCTTCACAGAGGAGGAGGTGCTTGAACTGCCCAAGTGGCACCAGGTGCAGGAGGGTGACAAGGTCCACTGGACAAAGGCACAAAGAGGCAACACAGAGCACATCCAGGGGAACAAAACACTGTTCCTAGAATGTGAGCTCCCTGAGGAGCTGAGATCCAGCTCTGAGAATGGACCTGGGGCTAGCAGGCTCTGGATAACTGAGTGAATGTCTGGAATGCAGGTTCTCCAGAGCAGAGTAGCAGGAAACGAGGCTGGGAAGCGAGGCAGGAGCAGAGGATGGAGAGACTTAGACAATATGGAGGGCTGGCGGAGGAGGAGGAGCGGAGGAGACCCAGGTGCTGGGGGAGCAGCGAGAGGAATCAGCTGGAGAGAGAAGAGGGAGCCCAGAAGCAAATCCGGGCAAGAGAGGACAATGACAACCAAGAAATATTTAGGAGTTAAGGTGTCAGGCGCCCCCCTAAAGGAGGGGTTCACGTCCTCGTCCGCAGGCAGAATCCAGAGCAGCGGAGAGACGAGGACGCCGGCCGTGCAGGGACCAGCGTGGGCGGCGGGCACTGCCCTCCGCGGGCCAGGCGGGCCGCGCCCTCGGCTGTCGCCCCGCGGCCGGCGGGAGGGCGGGGCCTGCGGGACGGCGGGCGGCTCCGCAACCTGCCGGGCGCGGGTAACAAAGGCGGGACTACAACTCCCGGCATGCCCGGGCGCGGGGGCGCGGGGGCGGGGCGGGGCTGCCTGGCCGCGGTGGGCGCGGGGCTCGGGTGGGCGCCGCGCCCGTCGTTCCCGAGGGATCTGCGGGGTGCGGGCGGGCGACGCGCCCCTTCCCTGGCGCGGCCGCCGAGGGGGGCTCGCGCGCCCCGCCCCTCGCCCCTCTAGCCCCGCCCTAGCCCCACCCACGCCCGCCTTAGCCCCGCCCCAGCCCCGCTCGCCCCGCCCCAGCCCCGCCCCAGCCCCGCCCCAGCCGGGCGGCTCCGCTGCGGCCGCCGCGCCGCGGCAACATCACTCCCGCCGCCGCCCCGCCCATCCCCTCTGTTTTGCTCATTCTCCGGCGGCCGCGGGGAAGGCGGAGGCCGGGCAGCCGCAGCCGCGCCGGCTGCAATGAATGACCCCCGAGCCCGCGGGGAGGACGCCAGGTGAGCCGCTGCCCTCGGGAGGGCGCACCCCCGCCCGGCCCGCAGCCCCGCCGCGGCTCCCGGAGACGAGGCGAGGAGGGGCGAGGAGCAGCCCCGCGCCGCCCCCGGCCGCTCTCTGCGCCTTTATCTCATTGTGCGGAGCCGCTCGCGGCCGCGCTCCCCCGCCCCGCATGGGGCGCGCTCCGGGCGCTGCCCTTCGGCGGGCGCGGCTCCCGCGGCTGCCCGCGGGCTCTGCCTGACCCTCCCCGGCCGGTGCAGCGAGGGCCCGGAGCGGGGCGGCCGGACTGCAGCCGCGGCGGGGCCCCCACCCAGCACCCCCACCCGCGGAGCCTGCGCGCGGATCGCGAGCGGCGCCTGGGGGCTGGGCCGGCCCCGCTGATCCGCACCCAGGGAGGCCCCTAGGGAGGACCGCGGGACCACCCAGGCGGCGGAGGGGCAGCAAGGACAGAGCAGCAAGATGGCCAGCAAAGCCAAGGCCAGCGAGGCCTTGAAGGTGGTGGCCCGGTGCCGCCCGCTCAGTCGGAAGGAGGAGGCTGCTGGTCACGAGCAGATCCTGACCATGGACGTGAAACTGGGCCAGGTGACCCTGCGGAACCCCCGTGCTGCCCCCGGCGAGCTGCCCAAGACCTTCACCTTTGATGCCGTGTACGATGCCAGCTCCAAGCAGGCAGACCTGTATGATGAAACCGTGAGGCCTCTGATAGATTCCGTGCTGCAGGGATTCAATGGCACCGTGTTTGCCTATGGCCAGACGGGCACTGGCAAGACCTACACCATGCAGGGGACCTGGGTGGAGCCCGAGCTGCGCGGGGTCATCCCCAATGCCTTTGAACACATCTTCACCCACATCTCCCGCTCCCAGAACCAGCAGTACCTGGTTCGGGCCTCCTACCTGGAGATCTACCAGGAGGAGATTCGAGACCTGCTCTCCAAAGAGCCTGGCAAGAGGCTGGAGCTGAAGGAGAACCCCGAGACTGGCGTCTACATCAAGGACCTCTCCTCCTTCGTCACTAAGAACGTCAAGGAGATCGAGCATGTGATGAACCTGGGGAACCAGACCCGGGCGGTGGGCAGCACACACATGAACGAGGTCAGCTCCCGCTCCCACGCCATCTTTGTCATCACGGTGGAGTGCAGTGAGCGCGGCTCAGATGGCCAGGACCATATCCGTGTGGGCAAGCTCAACCTGGTGGACTTGGCTGGCAGTGAGAGGCAGAACAAAGTGGGCCCCAACACAGCCGGGGGGACAAACACACAGCCTGCAGGTGGTGGCAGCAGTGGAGGCGGAGCGGGTGGTGGTGGAGGAGAGAGGCCGAAGGAAGCCTCCAAAATCAACCTCTCGCTGTCCGCCCTGGGCAATGTGATCGCTGCTCTGGCGGGCAACAGGAGCACCCACATCCCCTACCGGGACTCCAAGCTGACCCGGCTGCTCCAGGACTCTCTGGGAGGAAACGCCAAGACCATCATGGTCGCTACACTGGGCCCAGCTTCTCACAGCTACGACGAGAGTCTCTCTACCCTGCGCTTCGCCAACCGGGCCAAGAACATCAAGAACAAACCCCGGGTGAATGAGGACCCCAAGGACACCCTGCTGCGCGAATTCCAGGAGGAAATCGCCCGCCTGAAGGCCCAGCTGGAGAAGAAGGGGATGCTGGGCAAGCGGCTCCGGAGGAAGAGCAGCCGCAGGAAGAAGGCCGTGTCGGCCCCCGCGGGGTACCCCGAGGGAGCAGTGATCGAGGCCTGGGTGGCTGAGGAGGAGGACGACAGCAACAACAACCACCGCCCACCCCAGCCCATCCTGGAGTCAGCCCTGGATAAGAACATGGAGAATTACCTGCAGGAGCAGAAGGAGCGGCTGGAGGAGGAGAAGGCGGCTATCCAGGATGACCGCAGCCTGGTCAGCGAGGAGAAGCAGAAGCTGCTGGAGGAGAAGGAGAAGATGCTGGAAGACCTGCGGCGGGAGCAGCAGGCCACAGAGCTGCTTGCAGCCAAATATAAGGTAAGGGCCCCAGGGGGGTTGGAGTATTACAGAGGACCCCCGAGACGGGAGGCTGATAGACTTTCCTTGGAGGGTCTCTGGCCTGGCCTAAAACAAAGTGTCTTCCCAGCACCACAGGCTGCTCTCCTGCTGAATGCTCCCTAAAGCTGCCAGGCAAATGCCTGTGCTCCTGGGCATGACAGATACACACACACACACACACACACACACACACACACACACACAAAAGGAAACAGGCAGGCAGGTGGTCTCTCAAATCAATGAACTTGGGCTGGTCTGACCTGCTGCCCATTAGTCTCTACCCCAATATCGATCATGTGCACAGATGACCAGGCAATTCCTCAACCTCCTCCTGGGGGGTTCTCACTCTTGCATAGTCTCCTCCCTCTGCAGCACCTTCAAAACTCCCACCATTAAAAATTTCTAACACTGGGATAGCATGTCAGTTTACAGAATGCCCTCATGATCTCATTTGATCCTTATTGATGCCATCTAAGGTACCAGTTCTTAAATCTCCCTGTTCCAGGTGAGGAACAAAGCTCAGAGAAGTGACATGAACCAGGTTCCACCCAATGAACTGGCAGCTAAGCTGGGACCCTGGACTCATGTTCTTTCTGTTCTTGGGTGGTGAGGCAGGATTGCTCCCTATGAAAATGGCTCCCTGGGTCCGTGCATAGCAGGACTCATCAATGGGTATCATTAGGCAGGAGATTTAGGGGATGATGTGGAGGGTTGGGTGGGAAGAGCACTTGACTCTACACTGGAGGCTGGAGTTCAGGCCCCCCTGTTCTACAGCTCATTGAGTGACCTTGAGTAAGTTGCTTTCTCCTTTCCTCAGACCTCAGTTTCCATGTTTGTAAAGTAGAGGCTTGGTCTGGGTGATCTCTGAGTCTCTTCTCATCTGATAGTTCTATGACGTATTAATCCAAGAAACAAACCAACTGGTCCCCAAAGCCAGACCTCAACATAATAAGATCCAATTCTCCATTGCCCTGAGAGCCATGAGGGTCTTGGCATCTTTCCTGAGCTGTTCCCTTGCCCATGGGTGCCTCCAGGCCCTAGGTGTGAGATCCCACTCCCACCCCCCACCCCCAATTTGGACAGCCACAGCCCTATTCAATTTCGTGCCACAGATGCCACAACTCAGTATTCTAGGCATTTCCAAATCACTGCAGCCCTCGATACTGGGGATTGGAGAAGGGGTACAGGGAACTGGGAGCTGACCACTAGATGAGGAAAGCAAAATATTGACATTTCTGACTCCTCAGGACTGGGCTGGGGAGCTGAGATGCCCAGCCTGGAGAGGGAGGGTTTCAGCTGCTGGAATGAAAGATGAACTGCTTGCCATTGTCTGTGCTGTGGGAATGTGCCCCTGGGCTCTGACCTTGCACTTTTCATATTGAATTCACCTGTGTGAGCTCAGCAAGGGTCACACAGAGCCACTTCCTGCAAGGAGGGATCAGGGGCCTGGCACACTTGAGGCCATCCTGGGAGAAATGGGATGTTCAGGGCAGGACAGAAAGACTTGCCCTCCCAGGAGAAGGGAATCCAGGTCACCTGCTGCTTTCCACTGGGAAATCTTATGTGGGTAAGCTGTCATCAGTTCTGTTACCAAGAACTGCCCTCTGCACACGCCCTTGCTTTCCAAAGCTGGAGTCAGCCAGGCCTCAGAAGAGTACAGAAGCACAGCTTAGCCCAGAGGAAATGGGAGGGGGGCAGAGCAAGGTTCCCATGGTCCACACTGCCCATCTTCCTCAGTAAGATACTTGCATCTTAAAATAAAAATCAAAATCAACAGGCAACTGTAAACCAGAGACATTCTGCAGGGGCGGGGGAGGAGGGAGTTGGATCAAAACAAGGGTGGGAAGAGCACAAGGGACTATCGTGATGGTGCACAGGTGAATTGGTGGTGGGAATTCCACGGGGACTATAGCCGAGATGATAAAGCATACATTGTATGAAAATGAAGAATGATGTAAAAAATATATAAAATAATAAAAAAAAAGATATTTGCATCTAGGGCAAGGTGGGGTACAGATAATAGAACAGTCAAGAGAGCATGGTGACCAGCACAAGTCTTGCACCAGAGGCACATCCCACAGAACCCCAGGGTCTTATAGCTGGCAGGGGCTTTGGCCACCAAGGCCTGAACTTGCCTAGAGCCACATAGTTGAGTTTAGGAGAGCCCAGGCTCTGTACTTGGTCCAGCCACTGTTATGCCAGAGTCCTGGTGTTACCTGAGGTACTTGATCCTCAGAGTAATTTGTTTTCATGTAACATTTTGACATCTAATCCTCCCAGCAACCCCAAGAGATGGGAATTGTTATTTCCATTGGACAGATATGAAAGCAAAGGCTGGGGAGGTTGAGTGACTGTCACTGTGACCCCAGCTGAGTAGCAGTGGAGCCGGAACCAGAACCGGTCTTCTGATACCCCTAGACCTGTGCTTGTCTACAGTCTTGATGGTCCCTGCATGTTTGCTCACCGTGTGACTCAGGGCAAAGGCCTTTGCCTCTCTGGATCCCGGGTTTCCTTTTGCCTAATAAGTCTGACATAGCTCCCTAGAGAGTGGGTGAAATGGTCATTATGTACCCAGCTTTCAGATATACGCAAAGGGGGAGGGGTGTCTGGGAAATTCCAGGAGGGGGAGGATTCCGTATCCTGTGACTTCTCCGCATGCGCAGCTCAGGACAAACAGCAGAGAGCAAGCCCAGAATGGAGACAGAGGACCCCAGTCTCCCTTCAGCCCCTAAGGCACCTCCTGATTCAGTGTTGGATATTTCTAGAATGGCGGAAGCAATTTGAGGGCCCTCAGGGGAGCCACAGGATAAAGAGGGGAGGGGCTCTAGGAGATAATCCCAGGCCTGCCTATTTCACAGGGTGGTGCTGAAGATTAAATGAGATCATTAGTGTGAGGGCATTTGGAATAAGTTGAAAGCTCCAAATAAATGGAGGGCATTAACAACCAGGGGGTGGCTTCTATCTGCTAAGCAGGGGTCCAGTGATTTCCCAGATTGACATCTTTATTATTTGCTTAACTCCTTTCCCCTGCCATCCCAGCTGCCTCGCCCTAATTGCAGCAGCTGGGAGCAGAGCCAGGCAGGAAGGGTCTAGGAGACCTCAGGAGGCAGGAGCTGGGGTCCCTCCCTTGAAATTAACGAAGCTTTTTAGTGGTTCACTTTGGTTCCCAATTTCTGAGTGAGGACATTGACTCTACTCTCCTCCCCCGATTCCCTTTCCCTAGGTCACACCACCTTCTGGGGGCCCACTGAGGTGATGCGACCCAGTGCCCCCATTCACCCTTCTGACTCTTCTTAGTCTGCAGCCTGTGTCCCTGCTTTCCTGCCTGCCACCTCTGGGCTCCCTGTTCCCTTTGTTCTCCCCTCACTGAGTACAAACACCATGTTGTCTCCTTGGAGTCTCCTTTCATCCCCCTTTCACAGCTACCCTGAGCTGCAGGGATGGTGGGGTTTGCAAATGTGAGAGTTTGTGATTGTGATCAGTGCCCGTTGATGGTCAATCATGAGTGATCTAATGTATAGTATCTCCAGGGGGCTAAAAGCACACCAGGCCCCAAGGGGCAGGGGCTCTAGTAGAGTCACAGACAGACCCTGTGCATATGGCATATGGCCCAGAGGGAACTCAGATGCTCAAGCATACTTAGCAGTGAGGACTGGGTCATGCACAAAGGTGGGCTGGAAGAAGTTGCGCTGGAAGAAGGTGTGCTTTACTCAAATCTAATTATGCAAGAATAAATTTTTATTAACTGCTTTAATATTTGAGATGACTTCTCAAACATTGATTCTAGAGACTTAGAGGAAAAGAAGAATATTTGACGGAGGTCAGGGCTGCAGATGACACAAAATGCAGACTTGGGATGAAGAGAGAGGTGGAGGTAGAAACAGCAGCACTGCTTGCTGATCCCTAAGAAGGAGGTCTGAAGGGGAAGAGCGGGGGCGGGGGGGGGGTCTTGGCTAGAGCCCAACTCTGTGGTAGGTACAGAAAAAAGAAGGGCCCTGCAGAAGCAGCCCCCAACATGAAGGATGAGGTCACTGGGTTGTTCAAAGCACGTTGAATTTTTACTGTTCACTCTGTGGGTCTCCTCTTCCTCCCACCTCTTAGCTTGGGGATTAACCATAAATGGGGATGCAGGAGAGGGAGTTTCAAGTCCAAGAATAGCAGTAGCAATAACAATGCCACTTAGTTAACACTTGCTATGCCTTTTATAAATAATATCCTATGTGTTATGTATAAATTATCCTATTTAATTCACACACGCACCTCTCAACAAAGATATTGTTCCTGCTTCCATTTTATAGATGAGAAAACTGAGGCTCATTGAGGTTAAGTAATTTTGTCCAATGTCCTGTGGCTTACATATGGCAAATCTGGTTGAACCCAGGTTGGCTTGACATAAAATTTGATCCTCTTTTATGTTTAAAGAATCAAATTGGGAAATGGTTGCTGGGGAGGTGAAAAATGACAGGTGCTGGGGTTGATGTGTTGAATTTGAGGTGACAGAATCTAATGGGCAACTGGAGTTGGGTCAGTGGCGTTCAGAAGAAGCATGAGACTAAAGGTGGAGTTTGAGGGGCCTCCCTGGTGACACAAGGGAGTCACAGCACTATGAAGCTATCCGCAGCCACTGCTGTACGAGTTCGATCCCACTGTTCCCCTCAGCAGTATATTTCAGTCAATCCACCTGTTCTGTTCCCCACTCTGTCTCTGGTGAATCCTCTCACCCCCTGCACCACTGGCCTGCACCCCAGTTCTTGTATGATAAATAAATAAATCTTAAAAAAATAAAAATAAAAATAAAGGTGGAGTTTGCTTACCTTTAGAAGAGGACTTAGATGAGATCCAGGGTCTCTGTTCTTGCTAGGCTTTTCCTCAATGTAAATGACTCCCAAATTGAGGTCTTCTGACCTAGTGTCTGTGCTGTTCTTACTTGTTGCATGGGCATCAGGGATAGGCATGCCAGGGTTAGTGACTTACTGGTT